CGCACCTGGGTTCGCCGGCATTTCGCGGTGGATCAAATACTTATTAATTGGCATTTTTCTCGGAATTTCAGAGCATGTGCCACGTGCCACTTTTGCCACGTGCCATTGCCACGTGCACCACGCACGTGTACATTTCTTAGAAAAATTAATTATCTATCGTCTTCGAGTGCGACCGATCCCGCAGACAGCTAGCCGGAGCGCAGGGCAAGCAAGCTCGCCCCCGCCCGGGTTCTCACCTCTCCCGAGCGGAGTGGCCCTCGGTGTTTTGGTGAGCACCACCACTCCCGGGCGGATTGGTTACCCCCGGTGCTACGATGGTGTTTTTCATGCCGAGACACTCATGGTGTTCGACGAATACGGCCACAGGTTTCCCCGTGCACGTAGGGCTTCGAGGCATGGAAACTCGCCATGCCTGCTGCTTTTGACCAGTCGTCCCCGAAAACCCCGCTAAATTCATTAAATCTTATGTTTATCTTTAAATTTTCATTCCATGCTCTGAAATGTCTCAATTGGCCAGTTCTATCCGTAACAAATGCAGTTGCATTTTTCTGATGCATGATGCACAAAAATGTATAAAACTAATTATACATATATGTATTATGCACAGCCTGATACCGTCCAACTTTTACTTATAACAATTTTTATTCCCAGGCATTTAGGAGATATAGCCTATTCCATTTGTGTGGAACATCTAGCGTACGCAAGGTGTTCCATGTAAGTTGACATTGTAAAAAATCTCGAAGACGCGTGATTTAACAAACTGACACGTGTCATTTCGTATTTCGAGTGGGGACTCAAATAGCATTACTAGTTTTTTAATCTATGAGCGTCTTCGAAGTTATTTCAAGGTCATCTTGTCTTTTTTTATCATAAACCCATATTTTTTATGCCGCAATTATATTCTACATGATAAAATGCACGGCTTTTGTTTGATATATTTTGTTGTAAGTTCAATATTGAACTTCAAATGAATTCAAGTAAGTTTAATATTAAACTTATAACAAAATTTCTTAAAATTTATTAAAATAACAATATTACTTTCTTCTGGAAGCTTTTTTATTTCATTTAAGAATAATGTGTATCGTTAAAATCTTTCCAACATGGAGAAATTTCGTGTTTCAAAATAATATCTGAAGTTGATTGAGGAGGAGGGTGGATAAAAAATTAATTAGACAAAATTGAGCCTGAAAAATCATAATTTATTAGCTTGAATGATATCATTTAATGGAAAGAGCATTGCACGTCCATGCATTAAAACATTAGTAATGCCATTTAAGTTCCCACTCTAAATACTAAAAAATTGTGTCAGCTTGTTTTTCTTAAATTATACGTCTTCAAAATTTTTTGCAATGTCAACTTAAAAGGGACACCCTGTATATATACTTTTCTTATTTTTCTAAATAACTGTTAATTGTAAGTCAAATACGTCCCTTAATTAATTGAATAAATTCTATAATTGAAAGATACTGCTCTGTGGATTTGGGTCCTTAACCACACACCTAGTGGACCGAATTATCCCAATAAATATAATTAAAAAACAAGCTTTTCGATTAGACACATATCGCTATTTTTGCTCACGAATGCTGTTAACATTTTACAATTAAGTCAGCTGCTGGGACGTTAAAATAACATAAACAGTTAGAGATCCTTTGGACTAATACCTTACAGTCGACTTTACTTTTTGCTAATAAAAAGAAAAGTGCTTATATATAAAACGACGAAAAATTTAGTTATAATTTTTTTAACTATGGCATACTGCGCCAAGAATTTGTATCACAAATCATTCCAAAAATTCCCGAATTCAATTTCGGGAACTTTTCACTTTCTTATGCGTCTATGCCCTTTCGAAATTTAAAAATTTCACAAATTCCGTAATTTCAAAAATATAAATTAAATGTAAAAATTCCAAACTTCCATATCCTCGAATTCTTTCCTACAAATTTTTATTCCATCAAATTTCTAAAAACT